TTGAGTCTTGATCACCTATAAATAAGAATAATGTTGTAATATATGCATATAACAACACATTTAAAAGCAATAACCGTTTTTCAAAAATATAGTTTTCTCTCATTCAAATTCTCTTTTTTCTCTTCTTCTTCCTCATCTTTTAAAAAAATCCTATTCCAATATAAAGAAGTTTAGAAGGACATGTTGAAAAAAATGACCCACCTTGTTTTTATGGTTTAATTAGGTCCATTTTATTTTGTTTTGATAATTTAAGGCATGAATTGCATGCCTCTCTAGTATAAGCCCTTCTCACTTTCAATTTTGCATAATCAAGATGTTATATTCCAAGAAAATTGCTGGCAGTGCTAGAAAGAATTATGAAAGTACAAGGCAGCGGCCTTGTCTTAACCAAGCAGTGACCAAGGCAAATAAGATTCATGGAAGGGTCAAATAACTCATGGCCTTGCATTTTTCTTTAGGGTTTTTTAGGAGTTGGTTTTTGGAAGGTTTTGAAAGCGAAGATTTTGGAAATTTGTATCTATATCTTGAAAATGTGTTTGATATTTTAATAAACAATATTGTTTTTAAAACTTATTTAAAATATCATACACATTTCAAAATATAAAAGCAACCCTCCAAAGTCTTTCCTTTCGAAACCTTTTAAAAATCAACTCTCAAACAACCCCTTAATAACTTGGATACGTGGAACTAACGTTCTAGCAAGTACACCAGTTTTAAGAAGCTCACATATGACGTTAAACTTTAGCTTGTTTTGGAAAGTTGTCACTCAGTGGGAAACAAACATAAACAAGAGAAGGATATTCGTTACGAGACGATGAGAATGAGTTGACAAGCATTTTGAAGCTTAGAAGTATCTTGTTGAAATTGGACAAGGCGGTGTTTCATCTCTAGTATACGAGAAGACAAGCTTGAATTTCCTCTCTTATGATTTAAGAAATGACCATTGTACCGTCACCATCCCATATTTGAACTTTAGAATTTGTGAAAAATTCTTAGTCTAAAATTTTGGAGACATGTAATGAGAGGAAACAAAAGTTTTAATTTTTTTCCCATATTTGAACTTTAGAATTTGTGAAAAATTCTTAGTATAAAATTTTGGAGACATGCAATGAGAGGAAACAAAAGTTTTAATTTTTTTTATCAAACTATGCTAGAACTGATGCCCCCATGAATCCAGGCCATGTAAGTAATCAAATTAGGCTTTAAACCATTGTTAAGCATTTCATCAAACACCTTTAATACATTCATTATTTTACCAATTGCACAATTCTCTTTAATCAAAGCGGCGTAAGAAAAAATATTGGGAAAATGGCCATGATTCATTCTTTATGTCAACAAAAAAATTTGGAACCATCTATCGGTGGATGAACCAAGCTAAATTGTAGAGTCGGCCATTGGGCCAAGCTGGTAAAGATAGGGCTTTAAGCCCCTAAATATATTTTTAAAATCAAAGATATTAAGGCCTAAAAATAAGCCTCAATTAATTAATTTAAATTAACTTAATAATTTTAATAAATTTGTTTACGAGTCAGACACATAAAGCTGTCATTACTTTTTCAATTTTGTACTTTTTTTACTCTTTCTCTTCCAATTCTAACGTTCTAAAATAATTAGTATTAATTGATTTAATATTTTCACAAATCTCATTGTTCAAATAATAACTGATTCTTCTTCTTCTTTCAATATCAAACACTCAAACTGCAATTGAATATTTTCTACAGAGGCAAACACCATTTTCTCATATTCTAGTTTATTGAGTTCTTTCTAATTCTCTATCTTCAATCAATCATCGGTTTATTTTTTTGATTGACGGCAAATAAGCGGTTCTTTCTTCTATTCTGTTTTTATCGACAAACAGGTTCTATTTTCTTTGTTACTACTTGTTTTGTTTATTTTATATTTTTTATTCTCTTTTATTTCTTTAGTTTTATTTTAGTTTGTTTATTTTATTTCAGTTATTTTATTCTATTTGTTTATTTTAGTCTTATTTAGAGTTTTATTTTAATTATTTATTTTATTTATTTACTTTCAAGATTTGATTGAATTGTTCATTTGTTTTAAAATATATAAATGTCAACTCGAAAATATGAATCGGGCTATTCGAAACTTAAGAAGAAAAAAAAAGAGTTGAAGCTTTGATTGAATCACAAAAAGGGGCTTTAGACAAATTTGTTAAGACAAACAAAAAAAGTGAAATCGAAAATAATAGTGATTGTTCGCTGAATGAACAAGTTAATAATGTAAACCATAATGAAAATTAAAATCGAGAAGCGGTAGTTGATGAACAAGTTAACAATATATATGCTAATGAAAATAGAGAAGGAATAGCGGGTGATAATGAAATTATAGTATCGGTTAATAGGCAAGATAATATTGATTCTGACACTAACAATGAAGATAGAGAAAAAGTATTAGAAAAATCATCTCATAAAAATATATATGACCCAAGTCAATGGACAACTATTGACACAAATTTGAGAGATTTATTAGTAGAAAAAGGTCCTATTAAAGTTACCGATATAGATTTTCCTAAGGATGCATATGCAAGACACTTTTCTTCATCACTTTACATTCAACAATTATCCAACGGAGAGAAGCGTGAAAGAAGATGGTTGGTTTATTCTCAAAAATTGGATAAAGTGTTTTGCTTTTGTTATAAATTATTTAATGCTCTTCATAGTACAAGTAAATTAGCACATGAAGGTAGTAATGATTGGAGAAATATTAGTGCTAAGTTGAAGAGTCATGAGATGAGTAATGAGCATATTGTTAATATGAGTTCATGGATTGATTTAGAAATGAGATTATTAAAACATAAAACAATCGACAAGAATGTTCAAGAAAGAAGTAATAGAGAAAGAGAGCACTGGAGAAATTTATTACTTAGAATCATTGCAGTTGTTAAAACTCTTGGAAAAAATAACTTAGCATTTCGTGAAACAAACGAAAAGATTTATCAAGAAAATAATGGAAATTTTTTATGTCTAATTGAAATGATTGCAGAATTTGATCCTCTAATGCAAGAGCACATTCGTCGAATAAAAAATGATGAAATTCATAACCATTATCTTGAACATAGAATACAAAATGAATTAATAGATTTGCTAGCAAATGAAATCAAAAAAAAAATTATAAAAAAAGTTGTGGAATCAAAATATTTTTCAATCATACTTGATTGTACTCCTGATATAAGTCATCAAGAACAAATGTCTATTGTATTACGATGTGTAGATTTTTCTTCAACTCCGATACAAGTAGTTGAGTATTTTTTAGAATTTTTAGTAGTAGATGATACAATTGGAAAATGTCTTTTTGATGCTATTATGAATGAACTAAAGATACTTGGTCTTGATATTATTATCTTAAGAGGACAAGGTTATGATAATGGTTCTAATATGAAAGGAAAACATCAAGGTGTTCAAAAAAGATTTTTAGATGTTAATCCTAGATCATTTTATACACCATGTGGTTGTCATAGTCTAAACTTGGTACTTTGTGATATGGCAAATTGTTGTTCCAAAGCTACATCATTTTTTGGAGTGGTGCAACGTATTTATACAATATTTTCTTCTTCTACTAAAAGATGAAAATTTTTACTAGACCATATCCCTAACCTTACTTTGAAGTCATTGCCACAAACACGTTGGAAAAGTCGTATTGAAAGTGTAAAAGCTATAAGATTTCAAACTTCCCAAATAAGAGATGCTTTATTTAAATTAGGTGAAATGAATGATGAACCTAAAATAAAAAGTGAAGCTGAATGTTTGGCAACTTATGAGCTTGAAAATTTTGAATTTTTGTTAGGCATGACTATTTGGTATGAAATATTGTTCGCTGTAAACTCAGTTAGTAAACACTTTCAATCAAAGAATATGAGCATTGATGTTGCTATAGAGTAATTGAAAGGGTTTATTTCTTTTTTCGAAAAATACAGGAAATATAATTTTGAAAATGCCATAATTTCGGCTAAAGAAATTGCTACCGAAATGGATATAGAACCTAAGTTTCGTGAAAAACGTATTATTCATAGAAAGAGACAATTTGATGAGATTATTGACAATGAAGTTTTAAAAACTCTTGAAGAATCATTTAAATTTGACTATTTTTTATACATATTAGATCATGCAATTACATCATTTCGAAGTAGATTTGAACAATTTAAAATATATCAAAATATTTTTGGTTTTCTATTTAGTATAGAGAAATTAAGGTCATTGGAAATTGAAAATTTAAAAGAATATTGTCTTAACCTCGAATGTTCGTTAAAACATAACGATAACTCTGATATTGATGGATTAGACTTATTTTTAGAATTGAAAATATTAAGAGAAATCATACATGTTGAGAATGATACGCCAATTGATATACTTAACTATATAATAAGACTCAACTCTTTTCCAAATGCATTTATTGCTTATAGAATAATGATAATGATTCCTGTTACTGTTGCTTCGGCAGAAAGAAGTTTTTCAAAACTAAAATTAATAAAATCTTATCTAAGGTCAACAATGTCTCAACATAGATTAAATGGATTGACTTTATTATCGATTGAAAAAGAAATGTTAAATGAAATTGATTACAATAGTTTAATAAATAATTTTGCATCTCAAAAAGCTCGAAGAGTAAATTTTAAATAAATATTATAATAATTTAATTTAATTTTTTTCATTAAAATATAAAAAACCTCAATTTAAAATTTGCTTTAAGCCTCGTAGAGTGTTGGGCCGGCCCTGCTTCAAATGTTATCATCATCAAATCTAAACTGCTACTAGTTGACTTGCAATATTAATATCTATAAGCTTCATCTTGAATCACTTTCTTTCCTATATTTCCAAGCACATAGATCCATATTACAAAGATACTATCAATATTTAGGTACTAATTATTAAAATGTAAAACACTGAGGCAGAGTACAATTTTGCTACTACCACTAACATTTAGACACATAAAAACTTATCAATAATTGCTTAATCTCCCAATGATCAAAACACTATGGACAATTATATTCTAGATAGAATATCATTCAGAGTCGCTACAATATTCTCATAACGCTGCCACACTTCTTGTCCATCTTTATCCCTTGCTGCATAATCTAACTGCATAATTTTACACCATACAACAATAAACATCAATTGACAATGTGCATATTTGATTCTAAGGATATGAGTTTATGGTAATAGCACTTACTCTTGTAACATTGTTGAAGAGAGTAGAATAGAGCTTCCTCAACTGTGGCCTCTCATTTCCAGGCTTACTTTGAATAATGGTGTATATATCCTTCTTCAAAAGTGCTGAACTTTTTCTCAATTCCTTTTGTGCTACTTTCCATGACTCTGACTTTAACAAATCTCCAACTTGCAATAAATCTTGTGCATGAACTCTCACTACATCTTGTGCCTCTTCAACTGTTTGATCAGGGGCCACGAGTCCAAAATCAAATGCATTTCCATTCTCTGTCCTAAATATACACTCTCCACTAATAATCAACCCCAAGTTTCTTCTACGGATTTTCACTGAATAATCCTTCTGATTAGAATGTTGGAAATTACAAAGTTTGACACAACATATGATGTTTGGAAACAAGTGTGTCAAGTTGGGTTGTAAGGCAAATGTTTGATGATAAGATTGCATGATAGTAAAGGGGAAAGTGAAGTAGAAGGAGGTAAAGAACCTGCTCTTCGTTGTTACCTTATCTTGTTCAAAGATGATGCCAATTGAATGGATAACACAAATACACCTCATGTTCAAATATATTGATATACTTTTGAAATAACACAAATAGAATAAGTAAGAGTGTATTAATAAAAAATGAATAAGTATTACATAAATAGACACAAAATTATTCTAAATGGAACCAACATCAATGTGTTTGACCTTATACACCAATTCTTTCCAATGGGTTTTACATAGGTGGTAGTTCAACACAAGTTCATATATCATTCTTATCCAATGCTTCAAATTCTGATTTCATGGCCAATTATCAATCCACATATTGCTTTAAATTCTAAGTAGATGGATTGGCTGGCTGGTTTAGTGAATTGTGTATAAAATACATGAAGAAGAACGGCATGCTTTGTAACATCTTGATTTGATAAATTGATCAAGATTCACAAATTTTGTAATTATAAGAATAAGGGTAAAATGACAATTTTTATCATGAAATTAATTATTTTATAAAAGATTATAAGAAATTTTAAATCAAGTTAGGATTAATAGAGGTTTAAAGAAAATCATTTAAGTAGCTAAATCATGAATTATGAATAAAGTATCAATTGAAATTTTGTATTAAATCTTAGAAGTATTTTGGTCATTTCACATGAGAATATATATTTCTTTTTAATATATATATATATATATATATATATATATATATATATATATATATATATATATATATATATATATATATATATATATATATATATATATATATATATATATATATATATATATATATATAAGGAGTAAAAAAGTATGAGATAAACAATGAAGCTAGTGACCCTCACAAAAAATGAATTAAAAGTTCACCAATAAATAAAAACCACACAAGACAAAAAATATCTCAAAGAACTAGAGTTATTGCAATTAAAACTAGGCTAGAACCCGGGTAAAACAAACCACTATCAACAGAGCATAAACCTCCACGAGCAACTTAGAATCACACCCAAGAAAAATACTAGAAGACACATTTGAACCGATTAATGTAGGAAAAGGATATGGCACGTTAATCAAATGGAGAAAGAACAAGCACACCCCAACGATCTACTAAGAAGCCATTTACATACCAGCGATATATACTTATCTTTCAAGGCCTCCTTGTCAATCGACGATCCTGTAAAGATAAAATTATTCATGGATTTTTATAAAGTCCACACCATTGAATGTCAAATCATGGTAAGATCACCTTTTGTCTAACCAAAAAGAGATAGAATATGACCTAGTCAGACTACTATCTTCCTCAGACATCAAAAAATCCCATATCACAAGTTTGTAGAGATATAACAAGTGACAAACAAGTGGAAACCGACTCTAAAGACCTAACACATAACATGTAAGAAAGACCCTCATGATTTAGAATAACACGCCTGATACGCAGATTCTCTCTAGTCAGGATCTTATCTTGGAGAAGTTGCCAAGAAAAAACCACCACTTTCGAGATTGTCCAACTACGCCAAATAGAAATCTGCGAACAACTTGGAAAGATAGAAAAAGAAGCATGAGACTAAAAATGATTACAGTAACCAGAGGTGATAATGTAGATATTATTCTCCCCCGATAATTAACACCAATGATCACTCTCCAGTGAGAGAGTAACAATCTGGATGCTCATAGCCAAATCTTGCTCATGATCACATCTTCCCAAGTACCAGTATAACCCACCTTACTCCTGTTTTGCTCGGAAATTGAGAAGGGTTTATCAAAAGTAACTCTAAGAGTGATGAGCCTCACCCATGGGTCATCCCAAAAAAGATGTTAGCATACACGATCCCACCTTCCGCCTCAGATCATCCACAAACCAATTCGAGGAGTCACTACATTTAGAATCTAGAAGGAAGACTCTTATCCACAAAGGATAAGCATAGTGGAGTATACCCACCTTACTTTATTTGAAGGAGGTGACATCATGAATCCCATGTATCAATCAAAATATCCTTCCAAAGGCCGGTGGACTCAAAAATCAAACGCAACTTCCATTTTCCTATGAGATATATATTTACTTAGCGAAGGTCAGAGACTTCAAGCCCGCCATTCTTATTGTGTTTACACACATATGTCCAACTAACACAGAAAATATTATGATTGTCACTCACATCACATTTGACCTTCTCTGAAGTTTAACAATACTCTTCCAAACCTTAACTAACATCTTAATAAAACAAAAAAAAAAAATAGGAATAACATTCCAAACAAAATTATGAAGGGTCACCCTACCTCCCAAGCTAACAAATCTATGTTTCTAAGATAACAAATGTGTATACAAGGTGGAGACAAGAGGTTTCCAAGTTACCTTTAAATAGGGATCAACCCCAACTCGAAGACCAAGATACTTAAAACGGAGGTACTTATGGTAGAAAAAATGCAGGTACTTATGATAGAAATTCTGGAAATCACTATTTGAATCCATAAAAGAAGAGCCCACCACATTAATACCAATAAGGCAACTTTTGAGTAGGGTTGTTAAAAAAACCATAAATTGAACTGAACCGCCGAAACGAACCGAACTGAGGTTAAAATAACCAAACTATTATATTTGGTTAGTGAACCAAACTATATTACACAAACAACTCTAAAACCGAACCAAAACTGAAACCAAACCGAACCTGAAACTGAAGTCGAACCAAAATTGAAACTGAACCGAACCAAAACTGGAAATGAAAAATACAAAAAGTAAGTTATAATTTTTTTGAAATTTTTTTTTGAAAAATGGTTAACGGTTCTAGTTCGTTTTGGGAAAAATTATCTTCTAACGGTTCGGTACAGTTCAAAACTTTGAAATGGTATACCAAACCAATTATTTTAGTTCGGTTCGATTCTGAGTAAATTGAAATGGTTCGGTTCAGTTCGAGTGAATTTTTACTATAGTTTGATTTGGTTTGGTTCAGTTTTCTTCCTGAACCGTACCATGAACAATCCTACTTTTGAAGAACCCAAAGGCCAAAAGTTATCGAAAAACCTCTAAGGATAGTTTTGATAGTCTAAAGGTTATCCATTGATACCTTGGATAAGATTGAAGCATTGGATAAGATTATAAATTACTTATTAGTGTTTTTTAACAAGGTTAAACCAGCTTATTCATAACTACCACACTACTAAGAGTCAAACTTCTAGGAAAGCTAGTTGGTTAGAAGAAATCCTACCAAGAGATCTGAGTGACAAAGTTGGAAGAAAAACAATGGAGGGATGACATACAATGAAATTGTTCAATATAGATATCAAGTCCTCCTTAATAATTGCCAAAACTCTCCTCCCTCCTCACCGGCCAACCCCCTCCGATCTCCTTCTCCCTTCGCCAGAAGACTGAGCTACAACCAGCCCTGCCACACGTACACCCTCTGCCTTGCCCGGTCCGCCCTCTCGTCGCACCGTCCACCACCTGGCTTTCTCCTCGCCGGTCCGCCCTTCCGTCTCGTTGGATTCCCTCCGATCAATACCGTGTCCGCACGCCACTCTCCCTCCGGTCTCTGATTCAACTCTTCTGATCTCATTTCAGTAACTTCTTGAAGCTTGCTCGATTTAAGTGATTTTAAAATAAGCAATTATTTTAAATAAGCATGAATTGAATTTTGATTATATATTTAATTGATTTTTGAGGTTGATTACGGATAATTGTGAAATTGGATTATTATTTGTTCAATTGTTTGAATCTCATAAATTTCGATGCGATTAATTTTTGTAAATTGTTAAGGTTCACGCGTCGAAGTTCACGCGTCGAAGTTTTATTTCGAGTCAATAATTGTTGTTATGGTTTACACATTGGATTTGATAATTTTTGTTGATTGTTGAGTTTTTATGCGTCGAAGTTTGATTCTGAGTTGATACTTGTTGATGATTGTTGAATTTTACGTATCGGAATCAAATTTAAAGTTGATTAATTATTTTTGACGCGTAAATAATTTTTGTTTGATGCTTAGAACTATTGTATCGGTGTGGTTTTATTTGTTGTAACTTATTTTTAAATTCCAAGAGAAGTTTCATGTATCGGTGTTCGGTTTGGTGCGTTCAAATGCGAATTTTAAATCGATTGTTAGTGAACATTGACACATGAAACAACGCTTCCCGAAGTTCACAAATACGTCGCATATCATGATTTAATTGTTGCTTGATGCATAATTGGCTTTATTTGGGTAATTGCTTGATACCGGTGTTGAGTTTCCATGTTTTTAATTTGAATTTTTCGAGCATTCCATGAGTTGCAACAATGCTTCCCGGAGTTGGTAAGTGCGTGTAATTTGTGATTTAATTCTTGCTTGGTGCATAAGTAAACTTAATTTTATAATTGTTTTATGCCCATGATGAGTTTTGGTGTTTTAATCCGACTTTTCGATTGTTTCATGAATTAAAGTAGTTGCTGCCCGAAAATTGCTTTTAATGCTCTGATGCATGTTTGGAATTTATTTCTTCATGATTTAATTTCAATTTGAGTTGTGATATGAATGTTTAACCTCAGTTACATCTCCTTGTTATTTCTAAATCATTTGTTGACTTGTGCAAGGTGGTTCAAGAGAGCATTTAATCGATTAATTAGTTTTTGATTATTCGATTAAGATGCATTTATTCCACTTCTTTGTGGTTCAGATTCATTTTTGATGCGTTTGAGCATGGAATCTCATAGAATGAGATGTGTATATTTTTGTTATTTGCCCGAAATTGTGTTTTTGTGCAGGTTTATTGTTTGTCATTCGGATGTATCTGATGCACTTTCTGCTTGTGATTTATTTTCATATTGACGATGCTTTGACGCTTATTTATGAAATTCGATTTCTGACTCTTTTCTTTATTGATGCAAGCTTTCGTGAAGATCTTCGGGTTTCTTACACTTTGTTAGCCATAAGCGGGGGATTGTTATCTGTTTGGTACTTTTCTCATTTATCTTATTTCCGCATTGTCTTTCCATTTCCTTGCCATGGGAAGTAAGAATGTAGATGCATGGGATGAAGACCTACCCTTGTAGGCATTGTGGACTTGTTTGTTTAAATTATGTTTATTTAAAATCCTCAAATAAGGAAATTTATGTGTTTGTTTAAAGACCTCAAAGAAGGCATTGCTTAAAGACCTCAAAGAAGGCATTGTTTAAAGACCTCAAAGAAGAAAATTTTGTGTGTTTATTTTGTGCTTGCAATAGAGTCAAATAAGGGGGGCTGTGGGCCTGTAATCGGCCCCCACCATTTCAAGCCCCTTGGTCATTCTTAGCTTGCATTATACGTTGATGCTTTGAATCGTGCTACTCTTGATATTGAGTCAATAAAAGTGGAAGGAGGGCTCACAATCGGCCCCCAAAATAAACACAAATATAAGACACATTTGAACCGATATTGATGTAGGAAAAGGATATGGCACGTTAACCAAATATAGAAAGAACAAGCACACCCCAAAGACCTACTAAGAAGCCATTTACATACCAGCGATATATACTTATCTTTCAAGGCCTCCTTGTCAATCAGCAATTCTGTAAAGATAAAATTATTCATGGATTTCCATAAAGTCCATACCATTGAATGTCAAATCATGGTAAGATCACCTTTTGTCCTAACCAAAAAGAGATAGAATATGACCTTGTCAGACTACTATCTTCCTCAGACATAAAAAAATCCCATATCACAAGTTTGTAGAGATATAACAAGTGACAAACAAGTGGGAAGCCGACTCTAAAGACCTAACATATAACATGTAAGAAAGACCCTCATGATTTAGAATAACCCGCCTGATGCGCGGATTCTCTCTAGTCGAGATCTTATCTTGGAGAAGCTGCCACGAAAAAACACCCACTTTCGAGATTGCCCAACTACGCCAAATAGAAGTTCGCGAGCAACTTGGAAAGGTAGAAAAAGAAGCATGAGACTAAAAAATATTACACTAGCCAGAGGTGATAATGTAGATATTATTCTCCCCCGATAATTAACACAAATAATCACTCTCCAATGAGAGAGTAACAATCTGAATGGTCATGATATGGCCATTCACCAAATCTTGCTCATAGTCAAACTGAGGTCTCATACAAAAAAAAGTATAGACCATGATCACATCTTCCCAAGTACTAGTATAACCCACCCTACTCCTTTTTTGGTCAGAAATTGGGAAGGGTTTATCAAAAGTAACTCTAAGAGTGATGGGCCTCACCCATGGGTCATCCCAAAAAAGATGTTAGCATCCACGATCCCACCTTCCGCCTCAGATCATCCACAAACCAATTCGAGGAGTCAGTACATTTAGAATCTAGAAGGAAGACTCTTATCTACAAAGGATAAGCATAGTGAAGTATACCCACCTTACTTTATTTGAAGGAGGTGACAACATGAATCCCATATATCAATCAAAATATCCTTCCAAAGGCAGGTGGACTCAAAAATCAAATGCAACTTCCATTTGCCTATGAGATATATATTTACTTAGCGAAGGTCAAAGACTTCAAGCCCGCCATTCTTATTGTGTTTACACACATATGTCCAACTAACATAAAAAATATTATGATTGTCACTCCCATCACATTTGACCTTCTCTGAAGCTTAACAATACTCTTCCAAACCTTAACTAACATCTTAATAAAACAAAAAAATAAATAAATAGGAATAACATTCCAAACAAAATTATGAAGGATCACCTTACCTCCCAAGCTAAAAAATCTATGTTTCCATGATAACAAACTTCTATACAAGGTGGAGACAAGAGGTTTCCAAGTTGCCTTTAAATAGGGATCAACCCCAACTCGAAGACCAAGATACTTAAAACAGAGGTACTTATGGTAGAAATTCAGGAAATCACTATTTGAATCCAGAAAAGAAGAGCCCATTACATTAATATCAATAAGGCAAATTTTAAATAAGGTTGTTAAAAAAACCATAAACTGAACTGAACTGAACTGCCAAACCAAACTGAATTAAGGTTAAAATAACCAAACTATTATGTTTGGTTAGTGAACCAAACTATATTACACAAACAACTCTAAAACCAAACCGAAATTGAAACTTAACCGAACCTGAAACTGAAGTCGAACCGAAATTGAAAACAAACCGAACCAAAACTGAAAATGAAAAATACAAAAAATAAGTTGTAATTTTTTTTATTTTAAAAAAAAAATGGTTAACAGTTTGGTTCTTTAATAACTAGTTCGGTTCGGGAAAAATTATCTTCTAACAGTTTGGTACGGTTCAAAACTTTGAAATGGTATACCAAACCAATAGTTTTGGTTTGGTTCAGTTCTGAGTAAATCGAAACGGTTCGGTTCAGTTCGAGTGAATTTTTACTATGGTTTGATTTGGTTTGCTTCAGTTTTCTCCTTGAACCGTACTGTAATACGGTTGGAGAACTGACTTGGATGTTTTGCGTTTGATCGCAATTGTTGCAGATAGCAAGAGTCACCACCGACTTTTCTTTTATCTAATAAGGAAAGGGTGAAAATAACAGGAAAGACTTTTCAAGATTATTTTCTTGAGTCCGGGGGGTAGGTTATGAAAAGGGAAGGTGTTAGCCCCCTTTTCATCTGCAATTATCTACAGGCTCTTAGTTGCTTGCTAGATCACTTGCTTTTGTTTGAAAATGTGCTTTGTGGTGTGGGTTTGAAAATATTTTGAAAACATCTTTGTAATGATTCTCGTCTCTATAAGAATGCATACAAAGTGTTGGTTTTGAAAATAGTTCAAACAAGTGTTTGGGAAGGATGTTTTTGAAAGGGATTTTGAAAAGTGCCTTTGTAATAATTCTCGTCTCTATAAGAATGCGTACAAAGAGTTTTGACTTTTGAAAATGTTTCAATTGAAAGTGTTGGTGTGAAAAAGGTTTTTTGTTTGGGAGCAAGCAAGCAACTATGAGCATCCTACTTACTCAAAAGGTCTAATGTTCTTTTCCTCCTCCTTTAGATGTTGCTATCTTACCATTGATTTGGTAAGAAGCCCCATCGTTGGATGTGAAGGGACGGGCGTGGGTCATTTGTATAATCATAGAAGGCAACCTATGAGACGTTTTAGCAATTGTCGTATAGGGACTAGATCGTTTACTGAAGGCAACATCGAGGGACATCGAGGGACTACGATCTTTTATCTAGGGTCTTTGCTAAAATGCCCATATTCGAGGGACATGACTATTTTCCGAGGAAACAAGTGATATTACCCTAGAGGTGCATGTGTGTGAATAATGAGTTTGATTTGCATGTATTTAGTCTTTGTTTAGGGTGGTCAACTTTTTGATTTTATCTTGCCATACACCCTAATTACTAGCATTTTGTATAAAGCCATAAAAATTGCAGACAGTAAATTTCCTAAACTATTACAACCATATTGAATAGCAAGAAAGTTTAAAGATAAAACAAAATAAAATAAAGGAAAATAAGTTTTTTGATCTAGGAAGAATGCACCCTTCAATTCTGCTATTCTTGGCCTCTTTCGATTTGGGCCTAACAATCAGCGTGAGAGGCAGCCTTCGATTCATCCTTCTGGATGCTTCTCTCGATTGGGCCTGAAAGTCAGTGTGAGAGGCAACCTTCAATTCACCC